GCCGAGAGACTTAGAGGTCGAAGTGTTATTCGAAATTATTTGATGGCATGTCGTCGAAAGTGCTGCTCAAGAGCTCTATATATTTACTATATATATTCACAAGCGTTATATATTCACAACTGCAGATTTTGCTCCTCTACTATGAACTTAATATTTAAACTGTGAATTGATTTCATATTGCCTTTTAAATTATTGCTTAAGCTATGTATATATATACTCTTTACTATATTTCTCTCTAACCATACGGTTTTTGCACGCAGAAGGCGAGTTGCCTATAAGTCTGACTCATTGGCGTCTTGTTTTTTGCTACAAAGATTTAGAAAGTACGAATACAAGAAGTCATGATAAAATTTTCGACATCACTTTCTACAAACCGAGAGCCTTGGCGTTATTCAACTGTTTTTTTTTTTTCTTTACAACATTCGTGTTATTCTGTATATTCATTTATTATGCTTGCATGTTTGTTTATTATTGGTTTATTTCTTTCACAGGTTGTCCCTGACAAATAAAAAAAAATAGACAGACAGCCATTTTAATTTACTAACTTGTGTACACCTCACCTTTATGCTTATATCCTCGGCAGCTTTGACACCTTTCGACCTGTCCGCTTGTCTGTGCCTATACGTCTTTCACACACACGCGTTATGCTATTTACGTATAAAAGTATGGAAAATCAATACGTGCCTCTTTTCTTTGTAGATACTAAACGAAGTGCTTCGCATCTTACCTTATTGCAAATAAAAATTTGATAACGGAAACACGTTAAAATGTATGCCGGGCGTTAATATTTAATATAAAACAACAATTTACTGCTTCTTTTTTTTTTATTTCTTAGCATCGGACGTCGCAATGCTTTAAACGATTTATAGCATTGATGTTGCTTAAAATGAGAGCACTGGTCGATTTCTGTTATTTTGTCTTGTGCTATTTATAAAATCTTTTGTGATGTTTTTAGCGTTCGTCTGCGACCTGGCCTCTCCTCGCCTTTGTCGTTAATGAAGCGCGTTAATAAAAACGCGTCATATTCCAGAATTGTGCGACCGTGGTTGTATATTCGTAGCTTCACGATTTCTTCAATAGAGACTCGTCACAGATGCGAAACAATCGCAATAGAATAAGAACAGAATATAATGATTCAGATTCCGTGTTCTTAGCATTTAATCAATTGATGCGATTTTTGTGCTTATCAATTTTAGTACTGTGATAAAATTGTTCTTAATACATAGTTTAGGTGATGTTATCGGCCTTAGATGTAATGACTTATAAAGTTTTCGTTGTTATCTTTTCACGCTCATATCGCTGACCACAGCTGTCTCAACAGCCTCGCCTCTTACAAAGGTCAAAGGTTAACCTGTAACCTTTTTAAATTAGAAACTAAAAATTATTGATGGGTCCTTATTTCTATTAATTTTTAAGGATTACTAGTTACGTTATAGTAAACCAATATCAATGATGATTCAAGAACACTATCCGTTACCGAAAGAGTTAAAATTTTATGTAATTTGTAAATAATTGTCAAATCCGTCGTTTAATAATGTGGAATATAGATCGAATTACCAATGAAATTCCTTATTTTCATTAAAAAATAAAATATGACGTCTTTAAAACAGCAGGGAAAACTGCTAACGCACATACTTATTCTACTGTATTGTACTCTGTGTACTTAGTAATTAATAATGAATTTCCAAGCTTTACCACTCATAAATATTTTGTACAACGTTGTATCAAGAAACGTTAAAACCCTATAATTTGTACCGAAATTCCAGATAACCCCGTAATTTGATAATGCCCGGCCGAAAGCGAACACGTGCAAGTCCGGGGCGCCTCCTCGACGCCATTAAAATTGCACGATGTGCCACGTCGGTTGTATTTTTGTAAAGCCCTTGGTAGTTGCGCGTTCACAATGTGCGCCTTCAGCGACCGCTGACGCATACGAAGCCATGCTAGATAACCTTTTTTATGTGAAAAGTTGGCAAGCGAGCATGCGGTTCCGTGTAATGTGATTACCGCTACCTACAGACATTTATAACACCAGACGGATTGCAGATGCGTTGCCAATGCGCTATAAAGTGGCCCCCTTTTACCTCAGTCACCAGACGAAACGCAAAAGTATAATACTTTCACACCGGTCGTCTGCGAGACTGTAGTACCTCCCTAGAACAGCCTGCTCATTCTGCACGAATGTACCGTAGCCGTACCGTAATTGAGCACTAGGTATGCCACGATGTGCATGCAATTTCGTCCCTACTCAAATATCTCCTATTAACCTGGCATCTCATTCTTAACCGAAGCCCTCCGCCATTATGTAACTCGGTCGTGGAACTATACGACTCCTCGGCACAAATGCTAGTAATAACTACAAAAGACACAATACTGTTACAAATTTAACTAACACTAAAAGTAAAATGCCCTTAAGGCACAAATTATTATTATTTAAGACCTGCGTACGACCTATTATGTCTTACGCATGCATGACCTTCGCCCACATGCACCCTACTCGCTTGTACAAGTTGCAAATAGTACAAAATAAGTTCATCCGCCGCGCAACCGGTGCGCAGTGGTATCAACGCAACGTCGACCTGCACAGCGATTGCAGACTCCCGACGATTCGCGAATATTTTAAAGACCTGACCAAACGGTTCTTCGATAGAGCCGAACATCATCCCAACCCTCTGGTGGTAAGCGCAGCAAATTACCAACCCGACCAAAACGCGAACGTCAACAAGCGTCGCCCGCGAAACGTCCTAATCGACCCGGTCGAGGAAGGGGACTTAGACACGCCGGACCCACTGCCGGGGGTCCCGCCGGACAACACTACACCCACAGTTAGTGCAACAACAAACACACTAGTTCGCCCTTGCCTCCGAGCACGGCGAGACCAACACAACGCGTACACAAAGTACACCCGCGTTCCGGGGCGGTTCTCACCGCCCCCAGCCACCGATTAGCTAATTGCACAGTCGACGGCCATCGGGGTTTCGGTCCGAACCACGACCTCGATGGCCCTTAAATGACGTACCATAGTTAAACGCACGCATGAGCACATGCGTGGCCCTACCCACAGCGGAGGGCCCAAATCCGTGGGTTCTGGCTAGCCCACCGGTTCTGCGTCAGATGAAGCTTTAATAGTCTCGGGACTGAAAGCAAAAACATCAGTTAATACAAGATACAAGAATACTGTTACAATAAAGGCCCATTTACACGGTGCCAGTTTCTTGCCTGTTGTATACAATTAAATTGAAGCAATAAATGAGTTGCATGGTCTAAACAACAAATGGTCTTAACAATTATTGCGCGCAATTTATTGCATTCAATTATTGCTCTTGTATGTACAAGAAAATGGCATCGTGTAAATGGGCCTTAAAACATCGGCGACGTTATGATTCATTGACACTTTTTGTTTCGATATTGTGATACATTTAATGTTACTGATCTTGTGTGTCTTCTCCTTTTTCGAATAATAATTTACCGCTATTCGATCGAGTTGTTTTCTTGTTTCCAATATCTCCGTTAGACTCCTAGTGAATGTAAACAATTAAGAAGAATAAATAAAATCGAAATAAACACATTTATGGATTTCCACTGTTTTTTTTTTCCAAACACAAGTTTTTGTCTGTCTATTTATTCGAATCTTCAAAAAGGCTGAATATATTTTGTAAGTATTGTCATTGTCAGATAGAAGTAGTAATGTTCGCTGCTCTATATCGACAATATATCCTTGTTTTTTTTTCGTACTAACAAAAGCAGCCAGAGCGGTCACCGATGCTCGTCCACTTATATTAGTATCTACCTACTGTATTAATTATTTACTATTTTTCAAATTATCTTCGTCTTAATATTAGTCTTGTTAAATAGTGATTTGTGCTTTATGGTAGTAACTATGTATTCACGATTGATGATACTGTTACACGGTAAAACTCTTATGAGTTTATGTTTGTATCAGTTTAATAAGTTTGTAATTTCTTTTTTTTTTTATACAAATAAATTAAAAAAGAACTTGACAATCGCGAAAAGTCAGAAGAAACAGACAATTTTTAATTGCATAAACCTGTTTATGATTGGTATACTTTGCAAACGAAGCCGTATATCATAGATCGAATAACATATTAGCGACCAACGGATATACTTCGATAACTCTCCAAAAAAATCTGTTGATCCGATCGCCTTACTTCACATGTTCACCCTTGGCTAATATGTAGATGGCCTTAAAGTTTTGTCAAAACCGGTTCAGCTGTTTTGGAGTTCATCGGGATCAAACACACACCCATCGATAATATTATTAACAAATTCTTACTAATCCTTACTTCCTTACTAATATTATAAACGCGAAAGTTTGTATGTATGGATGGATGTTTGTTACTCTTTCACGCAAATAATACTGAATGGTTTTTAATGAAGCTTCACAATAATATAGTTTATACATCAGAATAACACATAGGCTATAATTTATATACATATTTTTATGTATATCTGTCAGAATGTTACGCCTTCGGCCTTGAGTCTATTGACAGCCAGTCAATACAATGTACAAATAATTTTAGATGAGACCTTGCAGTTGATTCACGATCTTAATAAAACGACAACGTTTTGATTTTTTGTTCGTTTATGTCAAGATGTTTTATTTCATCTTTAAACGCAATCAAATGAAATTTTCAAATTTATTTTGTTCTGTAATCAACACATTCCGACTCAAGGAAATCTTCTTCGGCTTAAAACATTAAGATACTTAACTTTAAACTTCCCGAGACAACTTATTAGACTCTTTGCTATGTTCTCCAAGTTTATATAAAATGTAATTATTAGTTCCTCTTTACTTGAAAGCGAAGGACTTAAGTTGTAATTTCATCAACACTTTCGTTGAACAGAGGAACTTGCATACTACTCCTTCTCATTTGTTGGTGTTCTTATGTCCCATCCGACACATGTTCAAGTAGAAGTAGACATAGAAAGTGTTTGTGGGTTAACGAACCAAGGCTCACCAAGATCCCTTCCTCCGACAGATGAGGACGAGGCGACGGCGTCGGGCGTGACGGACGGCGCGGCCGCTGACCAGCCGAACCGCATTATCTTCGTCAACCGCCCGCAGCCGCAGAAGTTCGTCAGCAACAGCATATCCACCGCCAAATACAGGTACGGCGACCTTCCACAATCGATAGTTCTATCGCACAAACAAATAAAAACATTGGCGACCGTCACCCGTAGAAATAGTGGTAAATTTCATAATCTTTAACGGTGGTAGGGCCACGCAACAGTCTTCGCTGTTGCACGAATAGGTAGGTCCGGTTAAGTGCCATGACCTCACAGAAGACCGGCGTGAAGTGGAAGTGTTATACTTCTGCGTTCCATCTGGTGAGCGAGGTAGCCGGGGCCCACTTTATGAAAAGGTGGCAACACATCTGCAACCCTACCTACGGCTGTTGCAATTATCAATGGGCGGTGGTTTAAGCTGACGATTAAATTACTGATTACTGGTTTAAGCAACTTACACTAAGTTTGTTAAATCCGTAACAGTCATTGTACTTAAAGGCCGACAGAGTGAGGGCGTAGTTCAGAGAACTTTACATTTATGATTGTTTAACTAGACACTACACTCAACGCTATAGTCAACTTTGTGATGTGCTCAATACTTTGTTTAGAATAACTTTCGTTCTGAACTAACTCGCTAGTAATTTTCAACCAAAGCAACGATACTGTGCGACGTTATCCCGCCTCGGTAAATTAAAAACTTGGCAACTGTTTCGCAACGGTGGGCCATGTGTTTGCGAAGGCGATCTCGTTACGCGACTCCATTATCGTTTTCCAAAGTTCGACATTCAGCTGTTTCCGTTGTAACACAGAGTTAGTTATACAAGCGGATATGCAACAGGCGTTCCTCATAATAGCTTAAGGAAATTACATCTCGGCGAAATTACGATTTAGCCGCATTCGCATTATAAACAGTTCAGAAATTTCGAAGTTCGATGGTTGTAAAATACCTACAGATGTGCTCTATATATATACAATACCGTAATCTTAGTATTATTGACGCTTTTGTTCATGCGGACATTTTAACGCTTATTTATACGCCATTACGTCAACTAAGTAATTTCCTTTGCATTGTTGTTTGATAGTCTGTCATCTTATTATTTTTATCGTCAACATTACTTATTGTTTTACTAAACGAATCGGTTAGTACTTATGTATTATTTTTATGATTGATTTATTGACCCTTTTAAAATTGTAGCTTATCAGAGTTACAGAAACGCTGCCGCTCTCTCCGTAAATCCGATAATTTTGTAATGCAAACCTGATTTCGTGTGACCATGAAGTCAGAAATAAAATTGGCTCTTCTTTTTGGACTAAATTTAATTTGGATTAAATTTCGACTTTTACGACAGGTTGGAATTAACTTAAAAAGCAAGCATTAATTGAAATCAGAAATGATAATTAAAAAAATTATTCATTCATATTTTGAATAGTGGATCAACTGGAATATTACAACTATAAACTGTAATTATTGTACAGTCAGCGTGTTGTTTCCGCGGACTACCAAAACAATTTAATCATTTATACCACTGTGTTGATAAGTTTTTATATTAAATTCATTTACAACTTAAATATATTCCGTCAGGACATCCCCATACAGCTGGAATGACCATGTGGCGAATCTCGTTCCTCAAATGTTAATTCATCCGAATACTTTCATGGTACTTATAGATTCTTAAAAGCTTAGGCCAGTGGTTTCTATCCTTAATCTATTTACACAGAATATTTATTAATGATGAATGAAAATGTTGGATGAACAAGATGCGGCGAGGTGTCCGTTACAAATAATTTAATTCTCGCATAATATATTCTCAATATAACATTTTCACAATAAGCAATAATAGGGCTAACTAGAATCATAAAAAATATCTATTTGGCTAGTAATTAATTTATAGAAAATTCAAGTATAACATGAAACAAATGATTTTAACTGCCGCACCTGCGTTTACTTGTAAGTTGGAGTCACATTAATTAGTCTTTCAGACCTATCAGCTCTTATGAGCGAATTTAATATCAGTTAAGTGCTAGCTGACGTCTCTCAGGGCGTCTATGACACGTCTAACATAAACTTAAAAGAGTATGTCATTTATAGTACTTACAAATAACTTTTCTATCTTAATTCAATAAAGCGGTCCGTCATAACGATAATGATTATAAATCGAGTATTGTTCTAATAATAACTATGGCATAGTATTGGAATATTGTTAGCTGTAAAAATTGAAATTGTTAATTTTTTATTTTAATTGAAATTGTTAATTTTAAGTGCTGACTTATCACGTGCTCAGCGGTGAAGACGAAAAAATATTTCAAAGATATGTGAAGCTCGCCAATCCGCAATGCGGTCGCGTGGTGGACTATGCCCTAATACCGTCTATCCAGAGGAGGCCTTTGCCTAGCAGTGGGTCATGTATAGGCTGTTACTTTACTTTCTATATTGGCTAAAGGCATGGGAGAGTCTACTTGTGAATTTAACAATCACGCATTGCCCAATACGTGTCTCAATGCAGGGTTCGTTTCTCGATTGTTCCAGCGTGCCTTCGTTCGTTCCCCTGTTCCTGTTCGAGCAGTTCCGCCGCTACTCCAACTGCTTCTTCCTGCTGATCGCGCTGCTGCAGCAGATACCCGACGTGTCGCCCACGGGGCGCTGGACCACCCTCACACCCCTCATACTCATACTAAGCGTCAGCGCCATCAAGGAGATCGTCGAAGACTTTGTGAGTGCACCCCACATCCCACCCAACATCCGCTAATGGCGATTTGATCTTTGTGTAGAATGATAATTTTTTTAATCGTTATGTCATTGAACAGAGATTATTTTTATCTCTCAAGACAAGGTAAGGTCTCATTGTTTGATCTAAAAATTGTTACATAATCATTCGTGGAAAATGCGTACGTAAAAAACTTAAATTATTACTAATATTTCTCTCGTTTTATTCAACAATTCCCAACAAAAAAAGAAGACAGAAATTATCTTTCCCCCGTTACTATATTTATTTGAGTATTTAGTTCGTGTTAGCGTCGAGTGTGACGCGATTCGATCCCGAAACCAAATAATCAACCATTATTGAGGTCTCGATGTGATCTGGCTGCAGAAGCGGCACCGGGCCGATGACGAGACGAATCGCCGGAAGGTGGAGGTGCTGCGCGGCGCCACTTGGCAGCTGGTGCGCTGGCAGAAGCTGCAAGTGGGCGACGTCTGCCGCGTCCTCAACAACCAGTTCTTCCCCGCTGACCTGGTGCTGCTCGCCTCCAGGTATTTTGGCTATCCGGGCGTCCTTTTCACTCGTTTACTCGTTTTACTTGAAATCCGCAGCAGAGAATCCAGTTAAGTTTGTCTGTTGACAGTTGTCGCTTTTGTTTCGCTACGCTGTTGCGGAAGAACAATAGTGTCTGAGATCGATTCGTGTCCACCTGAGAAGAAACAGGTGGTCCTCGCTTACTTCAATTCAACTACTGGGTTAAAATGGAATAGAAAGGGAACCGAACTAAGTAGAATTAGAATTTAGTTTGTGCATTTATTACATCGCTATACTAGAATACAGAGTATTAATTATTAAACAGAGTATTAATTAATAATACTCGTAATTAATTAATTACATTCATTTGAACTTATCTCAAAATGAGCGTGATTTATGGGCAGCTCATTTATTTTACGCACACAAGTTCGTTTCAAAAGTATACGACGCATTTATGAATGACTACCGCATTGTCAACAAGTTCTGTTTTTTAGGGAATAGAAAGGAAAAAAAGTTTATTTTTATTTCAATAAACGATTATTCTACCGAGTCTGAACCTCCTGTGTGAATTTGGGCATCTTTAGAAAACCCACCCTGTATATTAGATTCGCGCCGTCTGTCCCTCTGTACGCTTAGATCTCTAAAACTACGCAACGGATTGTAATGCGGTTTTCATCAATATATTGGGTGATTCAAGAGAAAGGCTTATAGTTATAGTGTAGTATTGTTTTGTGTTAATTTGTTTCAATGTGAAGATAATTGTACAAAATGTCATCAAATGAAAAAAAGAAATCAAGCCAAATTGTCAGTCGGCAGCTTTAAAAAAATGAGACAGAATTTTCTGTCTTATTTTTTAAAATACATATAACAAAATAATGTATGATGGTCTTGTTCCTCTTATAAAAACATCCAGTAGTATAATCTAATCATAATAGTATTAATAACTTGACAATAACAGTACATTAATATCTGCAAAGTACCCATGCGAAGCTTGTGCGGGTTACTTAATATTATAAATGTGCTTACGTTATGTTACTATGTACTATAAAATATAATGATAACAAAATATTGAAGTCGAAGTCGACTTGGGCGAACTTCACAATGCTCAATTAACAGTTGATTGCTATCTGGTAATGGGGTGCTTCTCGTTTGCTCCGAATCCAAGTCTCTTTCGTATAATAATACGGGCGCGCGTGAGTCATTCGCCGATCTCCGTCGGCAGCGAGCCCCAGGGCATCTCGTTCATCGAGACCTCGAACCTGGACGGGGAGACGAACCTGAAGATCCGGCAGGCCAGCCCCGAGACGGCGAGGCTGGACTCGCTGCCCGCGCTGGCCCACTTCCAGGCCACCATCCAGTGCGAGCCCCCCAACAGGCACCTCTACGAGTTCAACGGCATGCTCAAGGAGACCAACACCATGTGAGCCACTGGGAGTGATAGAAAATAGTGTGTGTGTGTGTGTGTGTGTGTGTTTACTTATGTACTCACGTAAGTAGTTATACTTCTATAGCGTAAAAATATTCCATGTGTCAGTTCCTTTTATTTGAAAAAAAAGTTGATTTCCCTTGTACCGTTTTTCCCAAACACGCCCAAAGGAGTACGACTTCAATAAAATTTTATTTCATAATTATAAAGTAAATCTCATATGATACCATCTCCGTTTCACCAATAATATCCCAGAACACGGACAAAATCTGTCGTTTGCTAAATTCAATAAAAATGTAAAGGAACGTTTGTGTGTTAAAGGTTTATTACAATATTACTGATTATTTAAATGATAACACGTCCTAGAAATCAATTGATCGCTGCAGGCCGTTTCAAGTGGCCTATCCTACACGTATAGTAAATTGAAATTGAAATTGAAATGTAAATCCAGGTCGATCCCGCTGGCGCTGGAGCAGATGCTGCTGAGGGGCGCTTTGCTGCGCAACACGGCGTGGGTGCACGGCGTGGTGGTCTACACGGGCCACGAGACCAAGCTCATGAAGAACTCCACCAAGGGTGAGCCCCACATCGGACCCACATCGGACCCACATCGGACCCACATCGGACCCACATCGGACCCACATTGACTGCTATGGTCAGAAGGGGAACTGCCACTTTCGCATTCCACACTTTGTTTTTTCACGGTGTTCAAATACCGTTTAGCTTAGAACAAAAACGACTTAGTCTCTCGGTTAATTGGGAGACATTATCATTATGCGCTGGTTTATATAATAGTGTAGCCTGTTATATGCTAAGTCAAATGGTGAATGTATCATTGGTTTAATGTTGCGGTAGAGCCGGGAAGTAGCCGCGAAGGTTCGCCGTGAAACCACATTATCGTTTTTATCAAGTTAGATGGTGGCAAACGAGCTGGCAGTTCACCCGATTTTAAAAATAACCGCCGCCCATGAACATTTATATTAATTATTGCCACCTTTATATAAAGTGGGCCCCGGCTACCTCACTCAAATGACGAAACGCAGAAGTGTAACACTTCTACTTTACCGCGGCGCTTACCTGTACGGACCTGCCTACCATAGTTTTGTACCCATTTCGTCTGTCGAGCGAAGTATACGGGGCACAGCCTCCCAAATTGACAATGTGGCACCTTGAGAAACGAACGCTCGTGGGGCGCAGCGCCGCTGAAGCGGTCCTCGATCGACCGCCAGACGAACACCCACATCCTGATGCTGTTCATGATCCTGCTGGGGCTGTCGCTGCTCAGCGCCGTCTGCAACGAGCTCTGGCTCAGGAGGCGCACCTCCTCCGACTGGTACATCGGCCTCGACGGTGAGCTTTTCTTACATAAGTACATTTATGTTTCATTATGTTTCATTATGTTTATCACTTTTACAAGTGTTACTTAGTTTCGGACTAGAGAATGTTGTCTAAATATGTGTTCTGTCTGAACTATTTTTTTGAAATGTTGTATGGCAAATACTTTGCAAACAGCATTTATTATATTTTGGCGTCCGTTTCTAATTTTTTTTTTTCGATAAAGAGTACACAAACCATAACAAAATACCCGGCACACGTACAGAAAGTTTTTAGCGTTTTATTGTCATATTTTATAGTCAAATTATTTGCTTTTTTATTGTTCAACGTAATAAAAACTATAAATTGGTTTTTATCATTGTTTCAGAGGCACAGAATGCGCATTTCGGATTCAACTTTTTAACCTTTTTGATATTATACAACAATCTTATACCTATATCGTTACAAGTAACTGCGGAAATTGTTAGATTTTTTCAAGTGAGTACTTTTTATACCGAATAAAATATGTATGATGAATGAAATCATGTTACAAAAAGGTGTAGTAATACTTGAAAAGCTTATATGAATATCAGTTTTCTAGTTATGTACTACATCATATATTTAAGATATTCGAATCAGTTTTGGTCCACACAAAGTTTTAAAAGTCACTTATAATTTATTTTAATAACATTAACCAGAGGTTTTTCGATCGCACGGATGTTTTATTATTCTACACTCGCCAATTGAGAGAAAAGGGAATGAGTACATCAGAGCAAATCGTATTTATCAATAATGTGTTTTTTACTCATGATTACAATGTAATTTATATATTCTAGGTTATTAAAAAATCAAATTATGTTATAATGAATAAGATAAATACATATGCGGAAATCGCCGGCTGTTTGATCGCGCCGTTTAGAGAAAGGTCAAAAGTAACTACCAGATATATTAGATTAGTTAGAGGTACAAGTATCACTACTGATAACTATGCGTAATTTCTTTTTAAACGCTTGAGATTTTAGTACTGAGTGAGACTAGACTTGGACAATTTGTAAATCAGCCGGTGAGCTGATAATCTTTTAGGGTTGAAGCTAACTGATTTTACGTAAATGCTTTACTTGTAGTCTAACAAGTTGAAGATTACGAGGCCCCCAGGGATAGATTCTAAATCATTCTATTCATTGACTGTTTAAGTTGACTGCTACACCTTTTCGTAACACCCTGTATACTTAGTGTTTAATACAGATGTTTTATGGATACTTTCGTAAGATGTAAATATAAGAACCTATACCTAGTAATCTAAGCATTATTGTGATTTCCCGATTTTAAGGGAACACGTTTTTTTTATTTTTCCAATTGTTTCTGTCTGTCTATTTTATATTGTGCGTGCACTAAGAATGAAACAAAGCTTGCCGTATGGTAATTAGATATCCAATTCCCAGGCGAAGTTCATAGCGATGGACAGCGAGATGTACCACGAGGCGACGGACACGCCTGCGATGGCGCGCACCTCCAACCTGAACGAGGAGCTGGGCATGGTGCGCTACGTGTTCAGCGACAAGACCGGCACGCTCACCTGCAACGTCATGGAGTTCCACAAGTGCTCCATCGCGGAGGTGCGCTCCACCACCCGCCACTTGCCTCACCAACCTTTGCAGTGTACCCGCCTCCTGCGCCACGGGGTGTGGGTAGATCCCCACTGCTTTCCTAGTGTCTGGGTGTTTATACAGCGTGTCGTTACCATCGCGACAATGAATGAACACGCATATAGGGGATAGCTTTTTAAAGTTGTATAAAACATTTAAATTCTTTAAACATCAATATTTACAGAGTTATTAAATTTTCCAAAACAAAGAATTTTAGAACACCCTTACCTATAAAAGCGTAACGTAAAGTTCATTTGTAAAGGTCACAAAGCATATGAATGGGTTGAATGAATTTAAAAGAGACAAAACGTACTGTTAGAAGGAGAGGCTTGTAATGCGACGCTGTGGCGCGAGTTGTATAGGATGTAACAAATTTTGTTTCTTTTTTACTTAATTAGTTTGTTTGAAAAATATTTTTTTTTAATTATGGATTTTGTTTAACGTTAATATTTTTTTATGATTATTGGCAAGTAGCGTTAGACGTGTGTTCATTTATTGTCGCGATGGTAACGACACGCTGTATATGTGTAATATGTATTTATTTATAAAAGAAAATTATGTTTATGTATATTTATCAATTTGCTTGGTTTGGGACTAGTGGACGTTGTGTGAAAATGTGTACCTTAAACATTAATTATATTATTATTATTGATTCGTAACGCGCGCAGATCATCTACAACCGGCCCGGGCCCAGCGAGCGGCTGGAGGACACGCTGCTGTTCCAGCACCTGCAGCGCAACCACCCCACGGCGCCGGTCATCCGCGAGTTCCTCACCATGCTGGCCATCTGCCACACCGTCATACCCGAGATGGTGGACGGCAGGATCAACTACCATGCGGCCTCGCCGGGTAAGCTACGTTTAATATATCCATAATTTCTTAGCTCATTATGATGTTTTTTTAAATAATGAAGATAGTTAATAGCGTAATTGGTACAACGCAACGATACACATAAATCACATTTTTAATTATTTAGTGTTAAAAAAATTGGTTCGGACTCCTGTGTATGGAACGTCAATGTCTATTATGTTGACTTTTACATTTACGTTTTAAATTAACAGCATCAATTAGTGCAGTAGAAGGGAAAGGTTCAGAGATGGCGCAAACTGCCACATGTGAGGTTTCTTATAAAACACGATTCGTGTCGTGTATCGAAGATCTGTGGTAAGGTTGGCGATAGGACCAATGGGAAGGTCCGTCCGGGTAAGTAGCACGACCTCACAGAAGACCGACGTAAAGTTTCGTTTCTGTTGAGTGAAGGTGGCCATTTTCTCACAAAAGATTGGCGCGAAGTGGTAGTGGAAGGCTATGTTCAAAAAAAGTCATAATAAGATACAGGCCCGCCCTCAGACGAGCGCGCGCTGGTGCTGGGCGCGGCCGCGTTCGGGTTCGCGTTCGAGACGCGCACGCCCACGGCGGTGGCGCTGCGCGCGGGCAAGGGCGGCCCGCTGCTCCACTTCGCCGTGCTGCACGTGCTCGCCTTCACCTCGGCGCGCAAGCGCATGTCCGTCATCGTGCGCACGCCCACCGGTGGGTGGAGCCCGACTGCCCTGGCCTGTGCTCGGACACGACTACTCACAAACCTTTTTTATTATTATAAAGCTTTGTCCTTAAAGATTGACTCAGCACAACGTCACGCCGAATATGTCGTGACGCCTTCTCAAGTAAAACTTCTTTACGCACGCTCGACTTAAGTAAGCCGATGACTGCGTGACGAGAGCATTACGAAAAGTGTGATCGGGTGGACGAACAGAAGGTGAAATCGAGATACTAGTGAAGATAGAAAGAGACAAAGCTACGTTTCGTATATAAATGTAGGGGCAAACTAGAGAGGTGCGAGCGCACACATTCTCTTTCTTTCATAGCCAGTTACGTTTCGTATATCTAAGACATAGTGCAGGTCTATTGTCTCGTGCACACTGTAGAAACATGAGAAAGCATATCGCGCGCACATTTTTTCTCTCTTCCTCTCATAGTCAGTGCATAAAACATATTTTTCGCATACATAAACTGCCGTCGACAAACACCTCCGAATAGTTATCTGTGGATCAGACAAATAGCTGTTCCGAGTGGAAACCGAACCCACGACGCCAAAACTAATACCTTGGCAACTACGCCACGGAGGCATCAAATGTAAACTCGTGGCCAACCCCGAGCAGGTGAAATAAAGCTGTACTGCAAGGGCGCGGACTCCGTGATCTACCCGCGGCTGGCCGGCGGCCCCGACAACGCCAAGTACGCAGAGGCCACGCTGGCGCACTTGGAGCACTTCGCCACCGAGGGTCTTCGCACCCTGGTTTTCGCCGTCGCGGACATACCGGAGCACGTCTACAAAGTGAGCTAGCTCTATCAACTTCCCTCCGACGTTTGTTGAGAGCACGGCTGATATCGTTTCTTTTCCTTTCGGATCGCAGGACTGGTCGAATACGTTCCACAAGGCGAGCATAGCGATACAGGACCGCGAGCAGAAGATTGAGGAGGCCGCTTTGCTCATCGAGAACAACCTACGGCTGCTGGGCGCCACCGCTATCGAGGACAAGCTGCAGGTCAGATCTTTTTGACCGCTTCGTTCGACCGTCTTATTCTATTTTTCCACACTTTTACCATGCATAGTAGTAGACGAATAGTATTTGAATGTCAATAAGTCATTATCCTGTTTTTACTAATGTCACAAACGTTATGTATTTTTGTTTCTTATGATTGGTCTATATTCTGGACGGATCTAGAAGATTGGGATTAGACAAAAAAAAAAACAAAAAAACGTGGAGTCCCTCCGTGCGGAAGAAGTGAAACTTCGAGTGCTAAGCATTCACTCTCGCTCTGTGTCTTTCTATTCCCCCTCAACAGGAGTGTTGAACGTTTAACACAACAGTGCTTTTATACCCTTGTTGGAAGTCGCATTAGAAGTTTCGCTTCAAAAAATGTGAACCGTTCTAAGGAAAACATTTTTTGTACCCAATCTCCGAGCATGTCAGCGAGCAATGGGCATTCGGTACCGCAGGACGGCGTGCCCGAGACGATAGCGGCGCTGCTGAAGGCCAACATCCACGTGTGGGTGCTGACGGGCGACAAGCAGGAGACGGCCATCAACATCGCGCACTCGGCGAGGCTCATCCACGCCGCCATGCCGCTCGTGCTGCTCAACGAGGACAGCCTCGACGTGAGTGCGCCCCCTTTCTTCGAATCTCGTATACCTCACCAAAATAGAAGACACGAGTACCAGAGAAAGATTGGCAGTGCTTAATATTATCATTATAAAAAAAACAGGGCACACGAGAGAGCCTGTCCCGGCATTCGGCGGACTTCGGCGAGAATCTCGGCAAGGAGAACGACGTGGCGCTGGTCATCGACGGCAAGACCCTCAAGTACGCGATGGGCTGCGACCTGAAGAAGGACTTCCTCGACCTCTGCATCTCCTGCAAAGTGGTCGTGTGCTGTCGGGTCTCCCCCATTCAGAAAGCTGAGGTAACTCATTTTCTTTTTGATAAGGGATGGCGTGAAAAGGTGTGAGTCGTGATAGCTCAGTATCCGGGCGTTCGCCTTCAATTCAACATACTCGAGCAACATGACTGCCTTTATCACGTGCTCCGCGGTGAATGAAAACATCGTGAGAAAACCCGCATATTTTCGCAATAACAATAAAAAAATATTTCGAGAATATGTGAAGTCCACCAATCCGCAGTGGGGACACGTGTTGGTCTATATGCCCTGACACCCTTTGTATAGAGGAGTTTTGCCCAGCAGTGGGACATGAATAGGCTGTTACGTTACTTTAACATTGTTGTGCCAAGTAAAACGATTTTGGGTTCTCTTTTTTATGTTTCATCAATAGTTCTACGGCAAGGGGCCTATAGCGCTGTTTTTTTTTTTCTGGTAAATTTACTTATTTAGGTTTTAATGTACATTTCATCAACTTTTATACTCATAGTTGTGAAGTGTCATCATTTTTCTGTTTTACGTAAATAATTTTACGTTCTACGTAAGTGACTCCTAAATTTTTAATTATTTAATATGTGAGCTTAGCCAATTGTTATGGAGAACCCTTAATTAAACTAAAATCTACTACACCCGCATCTGTTTATTCCTTATGTCGGGCCCAGGTGGTGGAGCTGGTGTCGCGCGCCACCGGCGCCGTGACGCTGGCCATCGGCGACGGCGCCAACGACGTGGCCATGATCCAGCGCGCCTCCGTGGGCGTGGGCATCTCCGGCGTCGAGGGGCTGCAGGCCGTCTGCGCCTCCGACTACAGCATCGCCCAGGTCTCTCTCTCTCTCTCTCTCTCTCTCTCTCTCTCTCTCTCTCTCTCTCTCTCTCTCTCTCTCTCTCTCTCTCTCTCTCTCTCTCTCTCTCTCTCTCTCTCTCTCTCTCTCTTGTGGACGGACCTGCCCATTCGTGCAACAGCCAACACTGTTGTTTAGCTCTACCAGAGTATTCCATATCATCCTTTTTTATATGAAAAGTTGGCAAACGAGTTGCCGGTTCACTTAATTTAAAGTGAATACCGTCGCCCGTGAACATCTTCTAAAGCCGATAATAGTACTTGCAGATCCGTTGCCATTTTGAAACGCGATTGAAACGCGAAAGTGTAACACCCACCCACTTCACAACGATCTTCAGTGAGATGCGCTACTTCCCTAGACGGATCTACCCATTCGTGAAAGAGCTAAGATTGTTGCGTGGCCCTACTACATCTCTTCAGCCTCTTCGAAAATTATAACTGTTCTCTCCACCTGCAGTTCCGCTTCCTGCTGCGGCTGCTACTGGTGCACGGAGCGTGGAACTACTCTAGGATAAGCAAGCTGATCCTCTACTCTTTCTACAAGAACATCTGCCTCTACGTTATCGAGCTGTGGTTTGCGATATATTCAGCATGGTATGTGCCTATTTGGTTATATTTATTTTGATTATTTTATTTTCTTGTTGTGTTTTCAGATTAAAGTCATTTCGAAAGTATGTATATATTGCACATAAAATCTAACAACACCGTATATCAATAAGGGATACCCTAATTTATGACATTTTTTATACTTTTTCTAATTTTCTCCATTGCATTGATCTGTGTCTTTCAATTTCTCTTAATTTTATTGTAATGAATTTATTCGAATATTATTATATTGTAATGAAAATGTTTTACTTTTCACATAAAAGTAACGTTTCTTATGACCTCATGCTGAATTATTTACTGTCTGATAGGTCTGGGCAAATACTATTCGAGAGATGGACGATCGGTTTCTACAACGTAATATTCACTGCTTTACCACCGTTCGCAATTGGTCTTTTCGACAAACTGTGTTCACCAGAGATAATGTTGAGGGTAAGTGTACCAATAGACAATATATAATTTATATATTATTTAAAATATTTTGTTTAGTTTAATATGTAATAACTTTTAAAAGTATTAGGTATATCAATACGCAATACGATATAGCAATACGAAATATTTAGATGAATTGATGACTTATTGACTGACAATTGGTATTTTAAAAACCGTGGATTATGAATAGTTTGTCTTGTTCAGGGAAATACCCACGATCTCACATAAGACCAATTTAAAGTAGTATTTATGCGTATGTTTGCGTTTGATCTAGTTGTTTAGGTAATAGGGACTCTGTTCGGAAGACTATTAAAAAGCACAACAAAAGTGCAACCTAAAGTATACTTTCGTTGCAGTAATAACTTGAAAAAGATTTTTCTCATTAAAAAATGTAACGTTTGGTTTGAAGAATTCCCCGACATGATTTCTTTGTGTTACACTTGTAAGGTGTTGCGTGATTTGTTTTCGATAGTATTAGTATAATGAAAACTTCCCGACAGCATCCCGTGCTGTACATCCCCTCGCAGCAGGGGATGCTGTTCAACGTGCGCGTGTTCTGGATCTGGGCGGTGAACGCGCTGCTGCACTCGATCCTGCTGTTCTGGCTGCCGATGCTGCTGGCCAGCCACCACATCCTGTGGCCCAACGGCAAGGACGGCGGCTACCTGGTGGTCGGGAACTTCGTGTATACCGTAAGTAAATCGGTTGAGAATCATTTTTTTTTATCTATAGTATAGCTACTAGCTATTACATATTTAAGATTTTTGTAAACTTAATCTAATACTTATTGTGATATAACACAAACGAAAATGTAATATTTCGCGCTCTCGCCTTTAAACCCATTTTTATTGAACGATAAATATAAAAAAAATATGTGTCTCACAAATGTTGTGTTTTAAAAAACTGCTAGTTAAAAAGTTTTCATAGGCATATCTGCGGATCACACAACTACTTGCTCCACGATTACAATCCACAACCTTTTGGCACACAGCAAACATTTGAACAAACTTTAACTGTTACTTGCAATACTAGGTGCTCAACAAAATTCCAGGATCCATCTCCATGCATTATCAGTCCTTTGTTTAGTGGACTCTTCCACTTAACCCCGATAAAGTCACACTGCAGCTTTCCCAGCACTGTGCATACGACGTCCGTTACTAGTTTGTATTGTTCCGCCTCGTGTTCACGTTGATGCAGTACGTGGTGCTGACGGTGTGCCTGAAGGCGGGCCTGGCCACGCACTCGTGGACCTGGGTGACGCACCTGGCCATCTGGGGCTCCGTCGCCATGTGGTTCGTCTTCATACTCATCTACAGGTGAGGCCCTGCTCTAGTTATTCATTTCAGTTAAGGACGAAATACATTTTTTTTTAGTTTTGGAAATTTTCATACAGATTTTATTAACCGATGTACACTTGTCATTATATCTGTTGTTGTTACCTTAATACTAAACCAGGTAAAATATTTTACTTTTTATTTGCTTATTAAGAAAGTCAAAATATTTTAACTTTTTCTTGGGATTTTTCTATGTTATTGACTTTTTATTTGCGGTTTTATGACATATTACATACAAACAATTATTTCAGACTAGAGATAATAAAGAACTAATTTTCTCGTGTAGTATAGATTTCTATGGGCGGTGGTATTATACACTTAACATCAGGTTAACCACCCGCTCGCTTGAGAATTAACTAGTCACATCAAAAACTACCCTATTGCCTTACCTCTGCCCTTCATCTTGGCCCGCAGCAACATGTACCCGCTGGTGGTGATCGGCGCGGTGATGCGCGGCATGGACCGGATGGTGTTCAGCTCGCTGGTGTTTTGGTTCGGGCTGGTGCTCATCCCGGTCGCGACGCTCGTACCGGACCTGCTCGTCACTGTGTCAGTACCGCACCGTGCACAGACCTTTGGAAATTGCATGATCATGTGTACAGAGTTAGATATTCAGAGCACTACTGCAGAAAAGCTATAGCTCGCTCTACATTATCGAATCGATCGAAATCGGTTTATCGCTGCTTCGATTCCTAACTGATGTTCTGCACGGGTCAGTGGTCCTCAGCAACTCTTTTGGCGATGCACCAATTCCATAAGAAATTCCGAATGTTAACAAAACGAGAGGTTTTGATTAACTAAAAGTTACCAATTTAAAGTGAAACATTATATAAAAGCTTAACAACTTGAGAAACATCGTTCATCATTTGAGCCTTACTCTGTAAGCTTTTAATTTGCTTTGTCAACCTCATTCGACTAGCAATTTAATGGTAGATTTGCCGTTTGGTTTGCGCAATTCCCCCGTCAATTTTCAATCAGTCAATTATCCAATGGGTAGGGTAACAGTTCAGACAAGCAAACAGGCAGTGCTTTGGTAGATTATATATGTATGTATTTACGAAAGCGCCACGAGTAAAGATCAGGTGAGACAGCTGCTCCCCTTGCTCGGTTGAAGGCTGCGAAAGGACATGGAGTTGCGGCTGCGCATAGCCGTCCGCCACGCCCGCTACCTCACCGGCACCGGTCGATGCACACTCTTCTATACCTCACCCGTATCCCACACTACATTCCATGTGCACAGTAACTTACGATTGGAACCCATTACAGTAACGCGTTGTTGTATTCACCCGTTTCATTTTTAACTAGGACGAGAGGCGAGTGTATTGTTTTTGTTTTCATATTGAAAGTCGATTTTAGTTCCATTGGTGATAATAGCTCATATTTCGATTGGTTTATGTGACGTAGAGAATATAATAGTAAAATATAAAAGAGGTATGAAGTAGTTATCAAACACTTTAAATTCTATAGGAAACATCATTTCATAATTCTAAATTTTGTTATGAAGGGTAGCAATTGTCTTAAAATAGAAATAAAAGTTATTTTCGCCATTACAATTTTAATGGGTAAAATGTATGGTAAAAATGTAATACAAGGAGTATTATATTTTTTTAAGTTGCAGGTCGCAGAAGGTTTCATAAAAATAAAAAAAACACTGAAGCTAATTGCACCCAGACTCTGACAACTATTTATGATGAACAGAAATTTTTGTTTCGTTTGAGGATCCAATCAACAATACCGTGTTCAATTGTCGATGGCAAGGTGACCACAAAAACCATTGCACCGTTCGTGCAATTATTTATGTAATAGTTATGCATAAAGGATTCCCAACCCAGATTGTTGCACATTGAAAATTTGTATTAAGCTTTTCATGGAAAAAATTTAATTAAGTTATTACTGTATCTCATTTCCAATTTTCTACTTTTTATAAATTTTAAAGTTTTTTATAGTGCTCATCTCTGTACTTAAGATTGAACATTAAAACATGTAGAAAAAGTACGAAAAGACTGTCGCCGCTGTGGGAATCGAACCCACGTCTTCGGCATTCGCGGCCTGTCGCTCTAGCCACTGAGCTAAACGGCTGATAGCCACAGCGACGAAAATCTTAACGCCTTCCTTCTACATGATTATTTAGCATTTGAAGCAATGCTTGGCGCATCTATTGTTATATCCTTTCCAGCATGCAAACAATTTCGAATATCGTTTTACAACGATAATTCGAACGAGATTTCTACTTTTATTTAATTCTTTATGATAGTCATTGTCTACTTTTTGCCCTCAATCCACATATTGTGCCGTTCGGTCACCGGCGTGACGACGCAGACCTTCATTTGAAAGACATAATTTGAATGTTAACGGATTTGCGCGAAGAAGGACGAATCGAGGTTATCTATTACTTTGTGTTTTTTTTTTGTTTATTAGTATTAGTATGTAGTAAATTTTAGCATGTTGCATTGATTGGTATACATCGGTGATTTCAGGATTTATAAAGGGTTGACTCGTTCATGTTATCCCATACTTGTTTCCTAGCAATTTTATTGTATATAGATCGGCAAACGACTAGCGAAAATGGGACGGTGGGGGGAAAATCTATTCCCCGCCACCCGCCTTCCGTGCTCCGTGGGGACATAGACACTGTATATATGTGTATATATGTGTTGGCTGTTGCACTAATGGGTGGGACCGCCCGGGGAAGAGCCACGACCTCACAGACGACCGGCGTGTAGTGAATGGTATATTTCCGTGTTTCGTCTGGCGAGGTGACCGGGGCCCACTATTAAAAGGTGGCAAAGCATCTGCGTCCCTACGTTTGTCGCAAACGGCGGTGAATGAGGTGAACCATCACATTGAAGCATTTCTCGAGACGTTTGCCGATGATTGTGCCTTACGAATGTGGAACGGGCTCAGCCACGCGTCCAAAGAGTGCAGCTCCGTCATGAGGCTGTAACTGAGAGGAGCCCCTTCCCTCGCAGCATCCACAACTCGGCGTTCAAGACGATGACGGAGGCGGTGCGCGAGAGCGAGATCAAGCAGCGCGACCCGGCCGCGCTGCTGGCCCGTGAGGCCCAGCCGCGTCACTCGTGAGTACCTTCACTCGAGGGGAGACCCAACAGTAATCAATTTTTACTCTTCGACAAACTCTTGAGCCGCGATAGCCCAGTGTTCGCCCGCTTTTCATTCGATATGCTTATTTTGGTTTGCGGATCAAAATGGTCACATGTCCATGGTCACGAAATGTGACCAAAAATTCTCCAGATATACCTGAAAATTTTCGAGACTCGTTCTTTGCTCGTTAGTTAACATTGTCCGCACGAATACGTTCATAAATGTGTAATTTTGGACGACCCGAATGGCGTAGTGGATAGTGTACCTGCCTCCTACGCTAGAGGGCGTGGGTTCGATCCCCACTACTGGACAAATATTGTGTGATGAACATAATATTTTTCAAGTCTCTGGGTGTTTATATATGTATTACATGTGTTTACAAAAGAGTTATCTAGTACCCATAGCACTAGCGTTGCTTAGCTTAGAGTACGTTCTGTAAAAAACAATGTGTCCCAAAATTCGTTGTGAAAGATTCGCTGAACACTGCCATCAGAGAATTGGAATTTTATGCGAACTGCAAATAACCGATTATCATTACTTTTGGATCACTCCTGGTATATGTGGTAGCATATGATTGATCTTCGAGCATCATCCGATTAGATTCTAGGATAAGCACTCAATCGATACGTCGTATGTTCAGTCTATTCAGCAAATATGAATATACAGGAATACCCCAAGTGTTATTTGGAAATATGCTTAGTGTTCTGATTCTGATTCTAAAAAGTAACATCATATCATCAAAAATATTCCGAAAAAAGTATGTTATTTTTTCGCAAAACTATTTAATGTATATTATGTTCACAGTTCCTATATTTGTGTCTCTTTTGAAACTTATATTCAAACATATCGGATATCTATGTACTAAATGTCGATTAATGCTATTTAAGTGTCGAATGAGAGTTGCAAGTTGTATGTTTGTGTGTGCATTGTGTCGTTGTATTGTTTGAATACATGTGTAGGCCCAAGTTCGTGTTAACTTAATAACTAACCATTTTATTAAAGTAGTATATTTAAATTTATATATTCACAAATTTATTATTAACAACCCTATATATATTTATAGTATGGACAATCGACAAGTTGAATTTCGTCATATTTATTTTTTCATTTATAGCCTTATTTATATACAGCGTGTCGTTACCATCGCGACAGTAAAGAAAATTTAATAACTCGGTAAATATTGATGTTTAAAGAATGTAAATGCTTAATACAATTTTAAAAAGTTATCCTCTATATGTGTGTTCATTTATTGTCGCGGTGGTAACGACACGCTGTATAACATTTTATAGAAAGTATAAGGAAATATAAATATATTTTGTAGGTTACCTTTTTAAATTAAAACTGTTATATAAATGTGTGCTTTATAATATAATTTCCCATATTTATTACCGCATAATAATTTATTGGAATTCATGTAAAAAACTCAACTATCACTTCAATTCAATGTATATCATATCACTTTCGTTTTTATATGGTGTTTTTATTTTTCAATAATTTTTATTGTTTTGCAAAAATGATGCTGCTATCATTATAATTTCTGTTTTCCATTATTCGTATGCATTCGCCAAAAGTACACGTTTAGATACGTTTAGATAGTCCGCCGCTTTCCCTCGAAACGGTGGCAAATTTTGACACGGCGTATGAGTAGTGCACGCAGCGTACCCTTAGTTTGATTTTAGTCTCATGTATGGTTTGCTTTGCACCGCCCCTCTGCACTATGGAGCTCCCTCACTCGTGTTAAGATAACTTATATCGGTTGCAACACGATTCGGTTGATTTCGAATACCCGTATCTTCGGAATGCTTCTCGATTAATCTAAGAGGTAGGGATGTCGAAAAAATATCGATATTCTAAGCCCATAAATCCGATATATTGAGATACAAAATATTCACTATCGAAACCATTTCTCTTTGAAGCTAAAATTGATATTTTTATAAATATCGATATATTTCTTCACTTTCGACATCCCTATATATAGGTGAAAACGTCTTCGTTCGATTCCCGCCCCCTCTGGTGGCGGATTTCCCGACCAGTCCAATGTAGTGGGATGTGGAGGCATTTGCACCCGCGGGCGCGTAGTTATGTTAGCACGAGTGCGCCGGGCCGGGGCCGCGGTCCTCTCAAGTTGTGTGTTGGGGCCAGGCGGGGGCTCCGGCGCCGCCGCGTCGCGCCCGAGGCGGGCGCCGCCCCTCCGCCCCCGCGCGACCCACGCCTCGTCTGAGCCCGCGCCGCGCCAAGCCCTAGGGCTCCGCCCTCCGCCCTCCGCCCGCTGTACATACCACTTCCAGAACCCGGACCGGACCGGACCGTTCTCATACAACACCGAACGCCACCCGCCCCGACTGGCCCTCGCCTCCGGCCAGATTCGGTGTAAATACACACTAAGCGATACGCGAAAAGTTTAAACGCGTCCTATTAATGTCCGCTCCGTCGTGGCGTTAAATATTCGAGTTCCGCCCAGTAAACGTTGCTGCGATTGTACCGCGGTGTGTTGTATGACCAAGAAATTCAGAGGCACGTTTAAACTTTGCGCCTCTTAAGGATACTCTCATTATCCCGCTAAATCTGCAGACTGTCTAGTACTCTGCGACATTTCAAAGACACCGTCGACATTAACTGTACAGTGGTAACGCTTATGAATTGTACAAATGACTTTATTAGAATTACTTTTTAACGCCATCTCCAATTGATTTAGATGTTAATTATACATTCAAAAATGTCAATAGTGTTTTTGCTAATATAGGACGTTTAAAATATTTTTAATTGTTAAAAAATATGTACTGTACATATTTTGGCAAGAAGTAGGACAGATTGAGAAGATTTTACTTGTACAAATGTCTTCGTTATTATGATCAAAACTATTAGTACACAATCAAAACGATTAAACTGTATTGGGGAGAATTTTAATTTGTACATAATTTAAGAATATTCCACAATTATTCCAAACGATGTACATATTTGTATAATTTTTAGTTTATCATTTACACTGCTGTAAAACAGATTATTGCTTTTTTTTTCTTTCAAACGAAAATTGATATTGAAATAAATTTCAATATCCAATTTGGATGTAGCTATTAGGAAAGAGAGCCGTGATAGCTTAGTGTCCGGGCGCTCGCCTTAATTCAATATACTCGAGCAACCTGAGTTCGATCCCCGGTGCCGGCACCAATGAAGTTTTTAACTTTAAGTGCTGAATCGTGAGGAAACCTGCATATTTTCGAAATAATAACAAAAAAAAATATATTTCGAATATATGTGAAGTCCGCCAATCCGCAGTGGGGCCGCGTGGTGGACTATGCCCTGATACCCTCTGTATAGAGGAGGCCTTTGCCCAGCAGTGGGACATGTATAGGCTGTTACTTTTTTTTTTATTAGTAAAGAATTACGACGATGTTCCTATTGGAAGGACTGCTGAAGAATTCGACAAACTGCGCTTATAGCTCCGTGTCTTCTGATAGGCTCTTTAGCTTGCTAAGTTTTCCAAAGTACCTCCTGTACTAGAGTCTTCTATAGATATTTTTATATGTGTGTATTTTTCGTATACAATAATGATGTACTGATTGTAATAAATGTTTTTACTCCAAGTTGGACTTACCTGAGGTATATGATAAGGGGATTTTCGGCCATTAAATGGTAACTAACTGTTATACAAAATTTACGTACGTATGTAGAGGTTGAGCTGACATATCTATGGTGTGACTGTACAGCCAGGCTAGCTATGGGTATTTATATAGTTGTGCAAGAAAATAACACGAGACTCTGGACAAACAACCGGAAAGATAATAATGTATGTATGTTAAAATACTTTCATGATACTCTTCGTATTGGTGATATTTCATACAAATCAATTTAGCATTAAATTTCATATGGTTAATAGAAAGATACGATTGACTGTTTAAATATTTGAAATTAATTAGTAATAAATAAAATGAATAAGATTATTTATGATAATTTAATGACTCACCAGTAAGTCGTATTTGAATATTGATGTATTTTATACACTATGTTATAAAAGGTCATATCTTAAACTCACTTAAATAACCAATTAAATAAAAAAAAATTTGGGGAAATGCCTTTTTATAACGTCTAAAGTTTGGTAGTTTTATTAACACGTCTAATTTCATTTGCATCATAGGGATTAACAAAACTTATTAAATAAAACTAGTTTACGGATTTTATCGCGTTAAAATCCTTTAAAATCCGTTTCATTTAATATTATATTCGCGTAAAATCAAGAAAACAATATATTAACAAAACTTAATGTTTCTTAATAATGGTAAGAGACGCGAGTATACAGTGTGTCGTTAACATCGCGACAATAAACGAACACGTCTAACGCTTCTTGCCGATAATCATAAAAAATATTAACGTTAAAAAAAATCCATAAATAAAAAAAATATTTTTCAAACAAACTAATTAAGTAAAAAAGAAACAAAATTTGTAACATCCTATACAACTACAACTGAGTGATTCATACATTCCGAGACTTTCGTTGCCACAGCGTCGTATTACAAGCCACTCCTTCTAACTGTACGTTTTGTCTCTTTTAAATTCATTCATTCATATGCTTTGTGACCTTTACAAATGAACTTTACGTTGCAGTTTTATGCGTAAGGTTGTTCTAAAATTCTTTGTTTTGGAAAATTTTATAACTCTGTAAATATTTTATTTTTTTAATGTTTAAAGAAAGTAAAAAAGTGTAATACGGATTTAAAAAAGTTATCTCTACTATACCCAGGTGTGTTCATTTATTGTCGCGATCGTTTAAAGACATGTAAATGTGTAATAAATTCAAAAAAAAGTATCCTCTAACAGTCATTTTGTCGCGAAACACTTTTAATTAACAGTTAACTTTTGACTTGTCGTTGGAGTTTTTATTTTTATCCTTGATAATTGGTGAAATACAACCTAAGGCTTTAATGTCAAACAATTTTGGCATGTTTCATGTATCGTCTCATTATCGTATTTTATATATTATCTCAGTACCGCGGCACATTCTATATATTTTCGGGGAACACAGTTCCTATTCCAATCACTTCAATGATTTTCCTTTTTTTTTTTACAAAAACTTCAAAAGATAACGCACATGGATTCTGGAATAAAGTCCGAGTGTTTTGTTGTTTCTGCTGATGGTGAAATTAGACGTGTCCTCTCTTGTAGTTTAGTTGATAAATCGTGTGCCACAATTAGCATTTATTATTACCGAATATGCGAACACATGGACGCGAGGTCCACCAAATCTCCACTTCCATATCAATTCCACTAGATTATTTGACGTGTTTCTCATATTTTATTAGCATTTGAAGGGCCCAGTAAAGATTGATCTCGCCTAACGATCCCAATTCCAGCGGTTGCGAGGTAATAACACTTTGAAGCGTATCTTTGTGTTCGTAAATTCGGCATCGTGTGTGTAAATCAACATTCCGTCTTACAAAGGCTGTACTGAGTTTTATGAATCGATTTCCATAGCGAATTGTTGTACTTAATCCTATTACGCTAGTTATAAATCCTATGAAGGGCGTTGCTTAGAAAGTGTTTGGGTTTACGTGTTTCTAGATGTTACCATTAGTATTAAATGATATATGTCAATAGTTACGTATTGGAATTACGATTTTGGATAGAATCTCGATTTGGCGTATTAATCAATTTTTTCTTCCGGATTTCATTCAAATGTATAAATGTACAAATTGTAATTAGTAGCATTTTGCTTTCATTTCGCTTCTTATTTTTTGTTTTTCTTTTTATTTCATTGAGTGTTTGGAGTCACGTCAACTTGTCAGCACTTTTTCATTACATGGTCATTGTATAAACCAGTTTCAATTCCATATAATCTTTTCATACTTAAATATAGTATTTTACTGAATACGCTAAAAGCAAGTGAAAAGAATTGAAGCATACTTATAGTTATTATTTATGTTTTTTTTGTAAGAAAAATGTATCTTTACGGGTAATACATGACCATTCCTACTGTTGTGCATTATTATTATATTGTTATAAACTCATTAAACTATTTCCTACGTATTGTTCATTTTATTTGATGATTTTATTTATTATTAGATAACACGTAGGTTACATACGTTTAACGTGACATTACAAGTGTCGCTAGTGTTGTTATAGATAAGGAAGCGCTATTGCTACTGTTTGTATCGATGATTTCTATTTAATAAAAGTGTTGGAATTCAACTCGGTTGTGTATTTTCAGTCTAGATTGAATTAACAAGAAGTTTACCGTTTTTAAAAATATCCAAGGGGAGTTCTAAATAATAATTCATTGAAACCATCGTGTGGCGTCAATTTCGATTAAATTAAATAATATATAAATTTACTAATTTTAAGTTTAGCTTACGGAGATCATTCGAAACTGTATAATAAATAGCAAGTTACACGTACAACTGGATCTTGTTGAGATCGTTTTGGAGGGTGCAGCAAGAGAATAGCCCCCTGTCCGTTGCCAAGCGGCGCCCTTGGATATTTTTGGATGCGGGCGTGTCGTCTGCGCCGCTACGAGTGGGCGACTAACGTTTAGCGCGTCCGCCGGCTGGAACTAACGCTGGTGGTTGTGCACAGTGTGGCGGAGGCCGCGCACGCGCTGGTGCGGCTGGCGCAGTGTAAGTACCGCGCACGGGCCCCTTGGCGATCGCATGGCTTTGCACGCCGCTTTGCACGCTTCTTTATTGACCCCATCGCGACGTACACCCCCGCGCCGGGCCGGGGGGAAACTGGAATCGGCGCAGTACCCGCGCACGCCAGATCCCCCCTCGGGCGCGGACACGGTACAGGGTTGGCACCGCTCGGTGCGGCGCGCCCGACGGTGTGACTCGCTCGTCACGTGAGCTCTGTGTGGCAGCCTCACGGAGACCGCGCGGCTGCTGCAGAACGTTCGCAGCGTGTTCGGGCGGCGCTCGGCCACGCGGGTCAACGCGGAGCTCGAACTGTCCCGTGAGTACACCGCAGAGCACCGCGCCCGTCGGGGCGGCACCGAGGCGCCCCACTTGGGGCCGCTTTGCGCACACCGTTCTGACAGTGCACTCACCACACTCGACTCGGTTCACCGCCTTCCGTGTAGGGACGTCGAAAGTGAACAAATATATCGATATTTACAAAAATATCAATATCGACCTCGATATATGGTATCGAAGAGAAAATATCGATATATATCGATATATCAAGTATCCAATATTTAATTAACATCAGCTGGACTCATCGGAATCTCGACGGAAAAAATATCGTTGTTGATACGATTTTCGATATTGAATATTTTGTATCGATATATCGAATACAAAAAATATCGGCTGAAAATATCGATATATCGGTACCTTTTCCACATCCCTACTCGGTTCACCGCCTCGTGAGATGAGCACACCGCAGCGACTCACGTGTCCTATGGGCCGCAGATGGGTTCGCCTTCTCGCAAGAGGAGGGCGGCACCGTCTCGCAGGCGGACGTCATCCGCGCGTACGACACCAGCCAGCCGAGGCAGGCGCGCTCCTGAGCTGGCGCCGCTCCCCCGCCGCCCCCGCCGCCCCCGCCGCCCGCCGCCGCCCGCCGCCGCTCGGCCGCTCGCGGTGGCCGCTAGTGACGCTCCCACAGTCGGACGTAGAAAAATGCCGTTGGCGAACTCGAATACCGCAGTACTCGCGAAAACCTTGTACTTTACCCGTTATCGCTTTGTCTCTGGAATTTGTTTACATCTGAAAACTTCAATTAAGATATTAATGGCCTATTATTTTTAACAATAACCCGTTTTAAGTTTTTAATTCCGTTCACGATTATGTAACTATTTATATTCCAACCATAACCAGTCGCTAGAAAAGCCCTAATGTTATAACGAAAATTATTGTTCATGCTTTTAATGTTGAATGTATTATTACATAATTAATTAATAGAAAAAAGTGTAGTGGTTGTAACTTAATCGGTCACAGGGATGCTTCTGAAACGGAATTCATTCCATTAAGAGAAATGTGTAAAAAACAAAAACTTATAACACTATTTTGTGCTTTCTAAGAATGCATTTCGCATACGTAACAATTACTAACACCGTTTCTTTAAAACAGCAAAAATTATTAATAACTAAATATTAAAAGGCAATACGTACTAGGAATCAAGAAACATAACACGACCCCGTTCCTAGGAAAGATGTTTACGCATACTATTTCCTACGCCTGAGTTCAGTTAATATGCCTATACAGTTTGGTAATTCGACGCCTCTGAAACGAGCGAAAACAAATTATTTTTTTCAGAATCAAATATATATATATATATATAAATTCAGATATGTTTAGGTTTCCCAAAAATAAATTTACTGAAGAAAAAAGCAATTAATTGATGAGGTATTTGAGAAAATTTGATTCATCTTTCTCACAGTAGGTATGATAACGGCAAATTCTTCCCGGTAAGAAATAACTAATTGTGAAATCATCCTTTTCTGGTAACTTCACGATAACCGTATAGTATATGTTGGTGAAAGTAACATGTTGTATGTGCATGTATTTAACAAAGTCAACGAGCCTCTATCCTTTGGATTATATGAACATTTTGATAATTTCTAAAATTGGAATCCACACGGTTGTTATTGAAAATTTTGTTTAAAAGAAACCTTTCCTTTATCAATTAATCCCTTCGTTAATTTATCGTTATTAAGTATAGAGATCAAAATTTTGTTGATAATATTAAATCTAATTTATTATGTCTAAATGTAGTTGATTTGTTAGATCTCGTAATTGTTAATTATTTATTGTTAATCTCAACTTGCTTTGGAGCCGCATCGAAAAAGTAACATAAAAATAAACTTCCTTAATAAACGTTAACAAATTAACTTCATCTAAAGCAATATTCGAAATTTTAATTAGTCAAAACTAATTCATACTTTTATTTCGAGTCGATAAACCGGCGACCGATTAGGTTAATCGTTGTCAGTACATAAATGTATATGAATAAATATATCAAAAGTGCAACACTTAATAAAACAAAGTAAACGTGTTTACTTTAATTGAGAGGAAATGATTTGTGTGATCAAATAATTGTATCCAGTTACTATTTTAATGCAGTATTATATGCGTCATGCTAGTATACGGCTTAAGCTTTTAGTTTGACTAATTCTCGTATGTAGTTAAGTGTTATTATTTCATAGCAATTGTTACTTATCCACTTATTACCATAAACAGTCTCGGCTTTTGTAGTTTTATCAAGACATTGATAGGGATTATGAAATTTACTCTAATTGGAATACCAGAAATTAAGTAAGAGCTTCATTTGCCATTGGGAGAGTAATAAAGAAGAATTAATTGATGTATATTAAAATCCATGTAGCTCATACGTGTTTTCTGTTTCAATCGCTTTAATAATAAAAATGACAGCAAAGGGCGTAGCGTGCTCTTTCGTGATCATAAACATTGCGCTTAGGAAGTTTCCGTTAGTAATAAGTGAATGTTATATTTAAACGGAGTTATAAATGTACGCCCCAGCATTAGTCTGCACTTTCAGTATCGATGCACCATACACAAGTTGATTTATGTCTTTTATATCGTTACGAGTTTTCTTTCATCGCTGCAAGCGCTGAGTACGCTTAGTTCTTTCGTGCCGACACATCGGATTCCTTTCGTGTCTTTATTTCCTCTTCTAATCCCAATTTACGTGAGGAAATAATAAAAGATATACCTACATATATTGTGATTTAGTATAATACGACGGTAACCTTTCAGACTCTTTACAATGTGAACCGCTCGCGGATTTTTGGACGATATCTAACTAATATTTATCACATTATACTTTTAACAGTTTATTATTGTTAACTGTTAACTCGTCTAAGATTATCTGGATGGGTACGGGACGTGGTGTTTTGGTTCGAACCACCCTTGTTAGTTAAACTATCTCAATTTTTATCAACACAAATCATGTCTTATTTTACCTATATTCCATAATGATATATTAATGCATTATGTTTTCACATTTTAATGCGATCACATGATAATATTTTACATATTTATGTATTAGGATCTTAAGGACAGAATCTTCACTCTATCGAATATGAATATGGAATTATGCATATTATAAATATAATTTTTATTTAACTCTTACAGATTGTGTCTGTCTTAAGAACACAAACGTAAAGTACAAATATTATAATTCGATACGTTTGTTTAAATTGTGAACCTATTGAAAAGCGTAATTAACAAAAGACAAATACAGACATCTTAGTATTAATAACTTCATATTTCCAGACGACCTGGACTTAAAGTTACACGTTGCCTTCCTGGTCAAGGGAAATTGTGGGTAGCTTGTTTCATGAAATTCGAAGAAGATTATTTCATCCATAAAACTTACAATATTCTAATTTTACACGTCAGTATAACTCAGTATATATATTGAGGCCCAAAACTCTTCGCAAAAGTAAACAAGGGTTACATGTAAAATGCACATTATATATTTTTATGTTGATAAATTATTCTAAACAGTTGACGTAATCTTTGCTTTATTTCAGACAGTCATGATCAGAAATGTATTATATAATTATGTAGAATGGGACATTCCCAATCCCTTGGTCCTGGCATCCACTCGTAATGCTTAAGCGAAACCTTAAAATCGTGGGACCAATGCGCATCATATTTTAAATAGGAACTAGTAAAGGCCCCTGCACGACACCCGACCGCGCCCCACACCACCTCCTGTACCCACTCGCCTCTTAACTTTAAGCAAAAGATGTGAATGTAAATGAAATATATTATTTGTTCTTGTTCTTTCTAGTTGTTGCGTTTCATTTCATCTCCCTAATTATGCAATATACAAAACTTTATAGAAAATGTGAAGTGAATTGAAAAAAAAAGATTGGAGGAAAGTATCTAAAGTAACGGCCTATACATATCAAAAGAACTTCTCTATACAGAGGATATCAGGGCATAGTCCACCAAGCGGCCCTACTGCGGATTGATGGATTATTTCGAAAATATACAGGTTACCTCACAATGTTTTACTTCACCGTTGAGCAAACGATAAATTAGCACTTAAAATTAACAATTTCATTGGTGCCGGATAGAACTCAGGTTTATCTTCATTTAAAAGCGATCGCCCGGACAGTGAGATATCGCGGCTATATTGGAGGATAATGGCTACCTATTATTATAATTGTCCCTGCTTACCCTATGGGAGCATAGCTTAGGCCATACACAATCCCACGTAGGTGCGGTGGGCACATGTAAAACATGTTACTATTTGGGCTAGATTTTTACGACCGACCGCCTGTCTTTCATCCTTGGGAACAAACACCCAGAACTGGAACACGTATCTGTGGTTCACACAGATACTTCCCGTGTGAAAATCGAGCCCACGACCTTCTGTGCCAAAGCCAATATCTTAGCAACTGCGCCACTGAGACGTACATGTGTGCGCATGTAAAATCAGAATGAAGTGTTTTTTTGTAAACGTGTTGTGCAACCAGTTTAACATTGCTGGAGTTAAATAATTTGACCCGATTGCCAAGAATAGATCTATTAATGCGGACCTTGCAAACTGTTGATGATGTACGACTTGATTTGTTTTTTTTTTTATTCTTATACTCATCAAAGCTAATGTAAAGTAACAGCCTATAAGTGCCCCGCTACTGGGTAAAGACTTTCTGTATACAGAAGGTATTAAGACATAGTCCACCACCCGACTCCACTGGTTTGGCAGACTTCACATATTTACGTAATATATTATTTTGAAATATTTCGAAAATATGCAGATTTCCTAGCGTCGCCTTCTTTCATCGCTAAACACCTGATAATTCACCACTTAAAATTGCGATCAACAATCACATTCATTGGTGCCGTCTCCGCGATTTGAACTCTGGTTGCTCGCTCATATTGAATCAAAAGCTGTTACGTCCAGTTACGTCATCTTACACGTTTTCTAAACTAATATTACATTTTGTCTTTATGCCACGCAAGCATTCGTCCTGGGCCGAAATACAATCCATGGATGCCATATTTCCAAGTTCACCAACTGAGGTGTTACGTTATACGCCACTTTGACGTACAAGGTCATTTAAATTGTTTATAGTGCTAATCTTTGCACTTAAGATTGAACATTAAAATATGTAGAAAGAAAAAAAAATATGTAGGCTCAGTGGCTAGAGCGTCAGGCCGCGAATGCCGAAGACGTGGGTTCGATTCCCACAGCGGCGGCAATCTTTTCGCACTTTTTCTACATATTTTAACGTACAAGGTCAGTTGAAACGCAATGCCACACAGACATAAAACCAAATTTTAGTCTCCCCTCAAGTGACATCATGCATCGTAAGTTGTATCGGAACCCTCCGCGATGATTCCACAGCGTGACGTCACTCTAGAACAATGGTAAGTGGGCAGCCAACGGCTGGATTGTGAGCAAAAGCGAACACGAACATATTCCACTGTCGATGCTAAATTAATTAGTTCCCTTAGCATTCGCACTAATTGCCGCTAACGCAATCGGGATGAAGGGAATGACGCAATGTTTACCATTTTAGTTCAATTCAACGGCCGTAATACGTGTCTACATTTCTACATATTAAAAGAATATGTTCTATCTGTTTAAATGTTCAATACCGTTCGAAAAAAGCTGCGCGTTCGCATCGTACAGCGAATCGAGCGATATTCAAAAGCACGCCACTATTAAAGCTCGAAGAAAATTAAATAGTATTGGTTTCGGCGCCCGGGGTCGTGGGTTCGATTTCCACACGAGACAACTATATGTGTGACACTCAAATAATTGTTTGGCATCTGGGTATTTGTTCACGTAACAAGCGTAACTAATAACACGTTGAAAAAACGTAAACGTAGAAACAACTCAGGATAATGTTATCCTACAATAACTTTTTTGCACCTAAACAAAGGACGACCGTAAAGAAGCGTGGTCAGCTGGTACCTATTTTTGCCAAAAACAACAGAACGAAGAGTTTAAAGCAAAGCGACAGCACTTGCACGTCGAACGGTTTTATTTTATTAATACAAATCTTCAGGAATCAATCAATTCAAAAGAATGTATACATATATAAATTGGAAAACAGATCGTTGTCTTAAAGTTATTTATAAATTTAATAGTTTCGATTATGCACTATTAATAGTAAAAGTAAAAAGTTATTTCTGATCCATCCATAAAAATGTTTCAGTTTATATAATTGTATTGATATCCCGTTATAATTATATTCACAATAAACAAAGCGGCTAACAGATCCGCACCGAGCCAAGGGCGAACGCTTTCCATCTGTTACTTATACCTACGCAGCGCCGCCTATTACACTTTTTAATCTATTTTGGTCGCTAATTTTCATATATGCTTTCGCATGCAACGAGGGCCTTAAACCCGTGGGTTCTGGCTAGCCCACTGGTTGATGATGCTTTAATAGTCTAATGACTGAAAGCGTAACATCAGTTACACAAAACAAAATAAAAGCTATTCTTGCTTCATCGTCTTATTGATGATTCAAAAGAATTCGGATATTTCACTGTAGAATTTCCAGTCGATAGGAAAATTTGTATCATAAATAACAATACTGCATTTACTAGATAGCGGGTTAGCTTTAAATATAAAGCAAGAGTTGAAATCATCTTAATCTTACGGGTAAGTACTTCATTATTATAGTAAAAGTCTATTGAATTACATAAGTTTAACAGTTTAAACCAAACTTTCATGTATGAATGATTTAAACTGATAAAACCTAATAATAAGGTTTTAATAATGAAGTATAACTTATAATATATTTTAATGTACATTTTTTGCAATTAAGGGCTTAAATGTTAATTTTCTTTATCAATTGCCAAAAAAAGAAGAATCATGGAAAGATAATCCTGATGAAACATCCTGGAAAGATTTGCAACCTCGGTTATAATCTTCGGTTAGACTTTTCTATATTTAGATACCTTCATCACCCGCAAAACGATCCAAGTAAATTAAAATTATGTAAGTACACATTTTTCTTGAATATGCTCAAGAATCATGGAAGAAAAAATGGCGCTTCACGGACCGATTATCAATGATCACTATATGACCATCATGAGGACATAAATTCATCAACACATGAGGCTGTCATTTACTACCGACATTTAAAATTCTACAGATATAAAAAAAAACCACAAAGTCGTGCAAATAATGAAAAGTGTTCGTCTACCTTATTCCGAATAGAATAAAAATAGACTCGGCCTACACATCCAAAGTTTGACCTGGAGACAGGTAAAGTCGACAGGTGCGTTATCACGTTATCAGGCGCGGCCGCGGACCCATCATCGAGTGGCGGGGCCACAGCGTGAGGCCAGCTGACGCCACGCCAGTGCCTCGCTGTGCCTTCACCACGACGCTCGTGCCTAAAACCACGCGACCGGCCTGCAAATCGAAACATGTTCGCGGTGCACTGATGTAAAATCCGGTTCTTTTTCGACTTGTGCGTAATCTGTCCCTTCGCAAATACGAACATAGTAAACTTTTTTCGGCAACAGCACGACTGTCATTCGGCCTTGGCGGTTCGCGCGCTTTCTGTTTGTAAACAAAGCACGCGTTTGCGTTAACAGCTTGCGGTAATTGTGCGGTGTCAGTGTGGATGCGATGTGAGTGTTCCGAGGGCTGGAGATGACGAGGTCTCCGAGGCGGATGGCCGCCAACAGGCGCGGAAGCAGCAGGTCCAGGGAGGTCGCCAGGCTGCGGACGCAACTCAACGGGAAAGGTGCGTAATAAATGTATTAAATTTAAAACTGTTTGTTAATACTTCCTTATTACTCGCTCTTTCCGAATTCACTGTAACGGTTTCCACGACTTTCCCTTCATAATACCTTTAGGTTATTTTTAAAATGTTCAAAGTGTGTGTATAGTGTTAAGTGAGTATATTTTTAAAGTTTCGAGAACAAGATTTAAGAAAATGTATTTATATCACATTGAATTTTATGCTCCAACCACATGCGATACGGCGTTTTGTGTTAGTAATCATATTTTTATTACACGTTTGTTGATAAAACTGCAGCGGGGGGAAAGAACTGTCTTTCTTGGTTCATTACTTGGTTTAGTAGTTAGTATCCTTACCAAATAATATTTTATTTAATCCACCAAATCCTAATGAAATACAAGGAAACATTGACGCTTCAATAATTAACGCGTTCAATCTTAAAGATTTAATTATACTTAATGAACATATCTTACTGTAACGTTAGTTATAATTACGGGACTAGCGTACCATGCTCCTTTTAAATTGACCATAACGACCACAAGGAAATTTGAGCAAGATTCTTGTCCAGTTCACAAGCTATTATAGCTACAAACTTGTTCTTAACCCCTGGTAAAGCAACTTGGACGCTTTTTTGTAACAGAAAATATGTTAGAGCAAAGACGTTATTTCACGTTTACACCGACGTATCTATAATTGATGTATCTTTTAGATGTAATTTTTTTTGATATACTTGATACTGATTTTTAAAATTATTATTTCACAACGTTCTTTGAGATGTGCTCGAAATGTTAATATTATGATGAATTTCGAAGTAATAAAAACGGTTGCTTAAATATAATTTTCACTTTTTCTTGCACACGTTTTTTTTAACTACCTACCTACTGAAAATTATATTCTTTCTTACATTTTCTGGTTTATAAAAATGTATTTAGTATTTACCGCAAGCCCCTAGGAAACTGTCTTATAGCGCTTAAAAAGTGGGAGAAAAAAAGAAAATGTTTAAAATCTACATCTCAAAGGCCAATGCTTTTTGACGGCATCAAGTAGCTTATACTGGCGATTGCCAAATTAATTCTACTCAATAATTGTACGGAAACAATATTGCGGCGCTTTTTCGCATCGAACAATTTCAAAATAATTTCCTGTTCACAATAATACAACAATAAGCGTACGAAAAACATTCGACACTCGGTATCAGAAAAGTAAACGTTTTGTAAGAGCTTCATGGAAAAGGCCTATTATAATGTCGATGAAAATTGAGGACAAGGATCAGTGGAAATGATTCGCGCTCTGCACTTGCAAGTCCCCTGGCTGCTGCTGATTTTATAATTAAATAATTACTTATGTAGAGTTTCCTGCCGGTTCTTCTCTGAATAAAAAAATGGTATTTATTCATTTGTGGTACAAGAGTCGTAACTTTTCAATAATAAATTATGTTTAAATAAGTGTTTACCCTTTAACAATAAATATTTTCTTGACTGGATTTTTCTGTTTCAACGTTGGAGGTAGTAAGATCGATTCCCACGCGGACAAGTATTTGCAGTTCTGTTTGGATTCGAGTGTTTTCCCTAAGAAAGGCTAGCCGGTTTTGGATGGTTTTTTTCAACCTATAACATTAATAACTCACGTGCTGTGCCACCGTCACCTAGCCCCACTATGGCCCAACTCTTCAAGTTATGATAAATTGTTTCGGTCTTAACAATCGTAGGTAAATCTGATAAAAAGAGTATGAAGATAAAAAAAATGGAGAACTCTTCGGCGACTTCGTGTATACATTAAGTATATGTATGACAAATATTTTTTGCTTCCAATTACGACTTTACTGTGAACGTTCCGCAAGGAAAATGTCCCTCGGAATCACGCACACGTAACGCGGCACGTAACTATAGTAATTTATTACATCCCTACGTCTGTTAAATGATGAGTAGATGATGTTTGCCGATCTCCTTCGACCGCGTGCCTGCGATAAGGAGTTGCAAATTATCGAGTCACAACTATTTGCTAAACCTGTTTAAGGTCTCAAGGCACTCATCGAATTCTCCAACAATCTCGCCAGTCTCGTATTAATACTAGAACTGTGCTATTTCGTTTTAAACTTTCAAATTATAATACTTACGATTATTAGTCATATTGTAAACATAACTAATCAAATATTATTTAGCAGAAGAATTCAGATATGTGGACATTCGGCACTTTTGACTTTATCGTTTTTAACGCCTAAAGAAAACTGCCCACAACCGGCTTTCTGTCTGATTAATACGTAGTTTCTTGAAAGTCGGACTGATTAGGCTTCCACGCTTGTCCTGTATCAATTATACATTTTTATACTTGTTCATGTCCGTTTTCTATGTTCTGCAATTAATTAAATCATATCGCGCCATGTTTATTTACTTATGAATAAGAAACACAATAAACAATATTCAACTTTTATTCATTATTTCATAAAAACTGTTTATATTTCACGCGCAGTATCAAAAATGAAATCTGATTACATTAATAAAAAAAATTATAAACAACAGATTGCACAATTCAGATTTGACCCGAAATTACCGCAACGATTTACTTCCGAAACGATTTCGGTTATCTCGTATAACAGTTTGTGTGCTTATTTATAATTTATCGTCCAAGTTCTTCCTCGCTTCTGCTCTCCACACAACGATTCAAGGACGGGAAAAAGTTCCGCTAACTCAACAACACGAATGGCGAATTCGCGGTGAAATAAGAATGGGCGTCTTCGCCTAGTTCCAAGTATCCTTCAAAACTTGTCCCGATAACATTCTTCGGCGCCGTCTGCATCGTAGACACATGAGCCGGAACAAACGGTATCGCAAAAGTATATTTTTTAAGTCTCCTTCATCTAACATACATGTATCATGTTTTTGTTCTATCGAGTGTTCAATATGTAAATTAAATGCGCAACGCCCCTGTCAAATACGATTATCCGCTATATTGGAGAATGTTGCGGCGCTATCATTTTTGCAAGTTGCTAAGAAATGATCGATATAATATAACTTCTAAGAAACAGGCTCATAAATTTTACAGTAAGGCTTCAATTCTCTAGTTGTAACAGATTTCTTAAATCTTCATCAACTCTATATTACATTTTTGAGTTCATTCAAATGTCTGTCGCCGCACTCAAAACAGTCTGTCGAAGCGCTATCTACTCAGAAAATGATAATGAAAAACAAATCATTGGATACTTTTGGGTCCTATCTTCAATTAATAATTTTTAAAACTGTTGTGGTTAACTAATGTTTTCTTTTGTTACTTTGGTTTATTGTTACCATTTGCCCAAAATATGAGAAGTGTAAGTTCTTCTATCTGATGTAGCTTTAAACGGCCTGAAACAGTTAATACCCTGTTTTTTCGTTCGCGAATTTGGTTATGTGCAAATCTAGCTAATTCGGAGTGCCAGTTACAACCGTCGAATGGTTCATTAGGTCAATAGGGTAAGTAACGAATAGCATTTTTCAGGTGTGTCCAGATTTTTATAGTCTGCTGTGAGTCGGGTGTCACGGCGGGGTCAGGGTGTCCTAACTTTTCATATACATACCCACTAGTTATTCCTAATTTATAGATACATACCTTTTAAATTATTTAATTTAAGTGGAACACTTTATGATGAAACGCACGAGCTTTTAAAGTGTGTAAAGACAGAAGAAAGACAAAAGTAACGATGTATCTATACCTAACATGTAGAGACAGATACTTTAGTACCTATCATATTATTTCCCATAGCATATTATATTTCTTTCCAACAGATGGCGTACTTAAGCACCGCCTAGTCCATGATAAAAGATGTTTACACTCGTATGTATCTAAGTATAGTTCGGTTTATTCCACTCTCGTGCTAACAACGCAGCTGCATCACGATTGCCGAACAACAGAGGGAATTATAAAACGCTCCGATGGAATAAATCCGCCCAAGGTCGCCGCCAGAGGCACTCTTCACTCCTGTCAAGGACGCGACTGCGAAATTAGCCATATTCAAATCCAAATATCTTTATTCAATATAGAAGCATTACTCTTATTAATTTTCAAAATGCTACAACCGGTTCGGAAAGAAACTCAGCGGGGCATTTTTTTTTTTTCATTTTTATTTGACAAAAAAAAATGTTTTACAAATGTATTTAAGTCCACTTGAAAGAGTCTGGAGCGTTATCATTTAAATAATCACTCATATTTTAAAAGCCTTTACAATTTTTCCTTTACAATTTTTTTGATTGATTTATATATTGAGAGTCAGATTCTTGATTTGTCGTAATCTATGCAACTTAAATACGCATTTTACGACATGTGCTTGCGATGTCACTTGATATGCAGACATTTACCTTGTATTACAGATTGTTACAAAGTAGATATCCGTGCGAAAAATTTTGAACAGCATTATTTTTAGACAGGTGAAACAATAAAGACACATATGGTGTATGTGCTGCTGCGAATTTTGTAATAAATGAAAAAATGAAACTGAACTGAAAATGTACTTTAAGGTATATGCGATATTGTGAGAACGAAAAATTTCATTACCTATTGTATAGTGTTAATACTTCTAAAAATTCGTAGTACTAATTATTATCGCCCTTTACACCGAGGTTACTTTGGGTACGAGTTTTAGTTTACAAAACGATTCACATCAAAAAAATATTATGAACAAATAGTAGTAATGGTTGTGTGAGGATAAGTCAACTTTTTCTTCAACAAATAGAATTGGCGTCCCACAACATAAATACTTAGAATTAAATATTTGATTAATGATAATTGTTGTAAGCAAAGATATGTGTGTGCCTTTTCTAGGAAGAGTGTGACGTATTTTTGCAATAGCTATTATGCGTAGTTAAACAAGCGACAATTAAACATTACGTCAAGTAAATAATCATCAGGTGCGGTGTCCAAATTATTTTTCTGTGCGTATGCAACATTGACTTTACAGTTACTCAATGCACTTACGTAATGATATCTTATATTAAGGAATATAGTACTCAATACAGAAATGAATAGATTTCGCGTTATTAATTTTACTTTAAACAGCAAACCGGTAGAGGTTTCATGAAATGCATTGCGAAAAGCACTATAGGTTAGTCTCAAGTGAACATAAAATAACATAGTCATAACGGAACGGGGAGAAAGAAACAACAAAGTTTTGAAAATTTTGAGCTTTTTTTCATCTCTTATCGTTCGCCAGAGATTAGTTTTAATCGTAGTTTTTAAACTGGTCTGCTGCAACGATGCAACTGGGACGAGCGTCCGAGTGTAGAAAGGCGGCCGGCCTTGTGCACATTCCTCTCGGCGTGTATTCTGTTACTCGATGCATTACCACCGAAACAGGTGTTTTATGTCAACCAAGTCTGTCGTGCTGGATAGTAGGTGATAAAGGGAACATTCTCTCAAACGCTTGATGTACTATAACGCATTCAACAGCCAGCTACACCGTGTACGGTGTACAGTCTCTTAAGATGGCATTCCTTGTGTTTAGCAAAATGAACGAAGCACAGTCAACGGCCATCGGGGTCACGGTCCGCACCGAACCTCG